GTGGGGGAGAGAGGGGGGGCGCGGGAGAGAGAGGGTGGGCACGGGAGAGGGGGTGGGGCGCGGGAGAGAGCGCACGAGAGAGAGAGCGAGAGAGAGACAGAGAGAATGATAGCAAGGGCATTCCTATAACTGAAACGTGGCCAGACACAGCACGTGCAATACTACAGGGTGTTCACTTGCATGAAATGAAAGGGAGGACGATACCTGAAAGCATGAATGCAATAAATGACACGGGGAATGTTCTTCTTGTCATAGATATCTGTGGTTTCTGGGTAAAATATCTACAAAAGAAATGAGGCAGTTAAAGATGGCTTTCTTACAAGGTGCCATCGACAAAGAAACTCTTGCATATCCATTTTGCCTTTCACAACCCCAAGGCACTTCGCAGCCGTAAACTGCATTTACAGTATTTTAATGGGGAGTGAAACTTGGAGGCACACAATTCCCACCCGGTGTTATAAAATAATACAGTGCAGAAGAGGCCCTTCGGTCTATCAAGTCTTCTCGTCTACACTAGTCTCACTTTCCAGTTCTTGGCCCACAGCCTTGAATTTAATGACATTTCAAGTGCTCAGTCAAGTACTTTTCAAAGACTGCGAGTTTTCCCACCTCTACCACTCTCCCAGGCAGTGCATTCCAGATTCCTACAACAAGATATTTTTTCTCAAATCCCCTCCAAACCTCCTGCCTCTCATCTTAAAATTATGTCCCTTTGTCATTGACCCTTTGACTAAGCCGTGTCCTCACTCTTTGTGCTGCCTCTGGAGGGAAGCCAGTGAGTCTTCTAATCAATGCAAGAGAAGGACAGCAGAAAGCATGCACTGTCGCTGGACTACAATCCAGCACCCCAAGGATGCTCCTTCCCTACCACATCCCACAGCCCATTAATTGATTTATAGAAAAGGTCAGCGGCATCTGTAAGGAGAAAAGACATTGCGAACGTAAATTCTTTCAGAACAAAAGGGAGAAACTTTTCCCCTTGAATTGCCGTGTGCCTCCAACAGTTTGAGTTTCATTTCAGATATTGTTCCATTTTTTATATAATTGCTGTGCAGCTCTGTTATATCTTTCAGCAGCCAAAACTTATGAGGGTTCCTGTCTGCCCTCAGTCTATTTTCATAGATCTCCCAGAATCTGGCTGGAGGCCTGTCTGCACAGCGAAAATCAGCCTTCTTACATTCCGAGTACAGTAAAAGTACTTTTCTTCTTAGATTTGTAAAGGAAGCATTTGGATTTAATTCCTAATATTTATGATTCACTTCACTGTATTCTGAGATACAGTCTGCCACCCTGATGCAGGTGTCAACTTGCTTAAGGGAGCACGAGCAAATAAGGTCTCTTGTGGCACAATGGTAACATCTCTACCTCTGGGCCAGAAGGCCCAAGTTCAAATCTGACCTACTCCAGAGCTGTCTCATAACATCCCTGAACAGTTTGATTAAAAATAATTATAATGGTATTATCATCACCCTTAGAAACAAAGTGTTTCACAAACAACAAATCATTTTAATCACTTATGTAAGCAAACACAACAGCCTTGATGTTCACATCAAGGTCTCATTAAAGGTAAGGGGATGGATGGCCAGATGATCAGTGTTTGTTCGAACTGGTTCAGAGAAGATTAAAAGATGAAAAGATTTGGGTACATATATGCAACACTTCGAAGTGAGAATGCTCTAATTAAGATAAATACTAGAAAGGTATAGACAGAAATAGAGGAAATGTCCTGTACTGTACCGATGGTAGGGCAATCTTAGCCAATGCATTCAGCCAATAGTTGATATTGTCAGTATGTCTGAAATTCAGCCCCATTGCCTGCAAGAAGACACAAGTTGAGGAAATATGGATATTGGTCACTGGAATTCTCAGATAAAGTACAAGCAAAACACTTTCTCATTTTGAGTTTAAATTTTCAACAAACCACGCATCATAAAATTCCGCCACCTCCTGGCAGACTCTCCATTTATACATGTGAATACAATAGTTCCTAGCTCACAATGCCTGGTTGTCTTGTTACCTTTAAGTCCCAGGTATTTAACATCTAATTAACTGAATTAAATACCAACAGTGGATCTCAATATCAAGGTAATGAATGCCAGCCTTACTTCCACATCCCCAACATTTAAAGATTCTGCTTCCACCATCTTTTGAGGAACAGGGCTCCAAACAGATCCCACCCTCAAAGAAATAAAAATATTCACCTCAAAATTGTCTTAAATAAAGTGATCTTTTATTTTTAAATGCAGGAATGTGGAGTCGAGGTTACTATAAGATTATCCATGATCTCATTAGATGGCAGAGCTAGCTCAAGGGGCAGAGTGGCCTACTCCTGCTCCCAGCTCACGTGTTCATATGTACATAAATTAAGTTTGGGTTGAACTGTGTGTAGGTTGGGTGTGGGCAGGGGGGTGAGAGGTGAGGCAGGTAATGGTACAAACCCTTGTTCTTTACGCATGTATTTGCAGATCCCTAGAGATCGATAACAGAGCTGAGGATGGGAAAGTGGAGTTGAATTAGCTTTGCTGATTTGTGCATGACCCTACAGATTTCTGCAAGAGGCCAATCCAGGAGACACCTAAAGAAGGAACTGAGGCACTGTGTCACACTGGAAAGCAGCAAGGTAATTACAAAGAAACTAAATGGGATTACTTTATATGGCACAAGACCATTGCGAGAAAGATATAAAGAGCGAGCACACAGAGGCATTGAAGAATGATCTAGTTAGGCACTCGGGTGTCGGGCGGATCTGCCACTGGAGTATCACTGTGGCATATAGGGTCACTAAGAAAATGTCATTGCAGGGGCAGCTCACTGGTTAGCACTGCTGCCTCACAGCACCTGGGTTCAATTCCAGCCTCGGGCGACTGTCTGTGTGGAGTTTGCACATTCTCCCCACATCTGCCTGGGTTTACTCCAGGTGCTCCGGTTTTCTCTCTCAGTCCAAAGGTATGTAGGTTAAGGTGGATTGGCCGTGCTAAATTGCTCCGTAGTGACCAGGGATTGCAGGCTAGGTGGATTAGCCACGGGAAATACAGAGTTACAGGGATAGGGTAGGGGCTGGCTGTGAGTTGGTGTGGACTCAATGGGCTGAATGGCCTGCTTCCACACTGTAGGGATTCTATGATCCTACGTATGCATTAGTTTGTTGTTTAGTTGGGCAACAAAATGTACCATATACAATGAAAACAAGATGCAAGTTGCTCAGTGCCATTGGTACCCAGAGTAGAGTCCATTGGACTAATTAGAGGATCTGACAGTATTCACCATACCTTGTACCTCAGCTGCTCTGGGTCGTAGATTTTTCTCTTTGGGACAACCTCTGGTACAAAGCGATGGCCCAGTTTAGCCAGAATCACTCCATTCCTCAGGCTTTCCTCCAAGTCGGTAGTTGGTGGAAGTTCCTCACCTAGGCAGGCCTCCATCCATCTAAAAGCATATCGGCAGAGTACACAGACACAGGGTTAGCAGGTGGGAGACACAAGTCCGCTATTGACCATCCCACAGCAAATCGAGGGGTGTAGGGAAGCGACATAGGGGAATGAGATCTAACTCACCCATGAATTGCCCAGCCCTTTCCTCAAAGCTTGTGCTGCAAATGGTTTGATTTTACTGACGTTTCTATGGCAGTGCTTCCCTACAGAACGTGCACATTTGGGGTGCTCTCATCCAAAAACAAGGCAGGACTAAGGAACTGGGAATACAATTTGTTCTCCACCACGGCCCCCAATCCTGAAAGCAGACGTGGATTAAGCCTCAGCTCCAACACATCTATCCTCCATCCCAGAGTCCAATCTACAAATTCAAAGAATTAACAGTTAAGTCAGATTCTAGTCATTTAGACCTATGAGGCCACACAAGCTGCATAACTAGATTCACAGGTAAATATCCAGCTGCCGTTACAGAATAGCATAGAATCCCTCCAGTGTGGAAACAGGCCATTTGGCCCAACAAGTCTACACTAATCCTCTGAAGAGCACCCCACCCAGACTCACCCCCTATCCTATCCCTGTAATCCTGCATTTCCCATGGCTATTCCACCTAACCTACACATCCTGGACACTATGGACAATATAGCATGGCCAATCCACCCTAACCTACATATTTTTGCACTGTGGAAGGAAACCAGAGCACCGGGAGGAAACTCAAGCAGACACAGGGAGAATGTGCAAACTCCATACAGACAGTCGCCCGAGGTGGGAATTGAACCTGGGTCCCTGGCACTGTGAGGCAGCAGTGCCAAACACTGAGCCACTGTGCCGCCCCCTTACTTAAACACCTATTGATTCCAGGTAATCGAACCTTCTTCTGTTGGTGGGCGGGGAGAGAAATCATCAAGGTGAAGGGGGACTGGTATTTTGTGCATATCCACTGGGCCTGATAGAGGCTGCAGGCAGCCATTCAGAATGGTATATAACACGCATTTACTTCTTTTTAAAAATAAAAGCCATTATGTCTTCTGCCCCTCTCAATACCAGATGCCCAAAAAGTGCATTATAGCCAACAAAGGATCATTGAAGTGTCATCACCGTTATGAGGTAGGAAACACCACAGCCAATTTGCTAACAGCAAATTCCTACACACAAATGGGGCACGGAGAGGGCTACCCACTCTTTAATAGTACTGTGCGCACCTTACATCCACCTACTGGAGTAGACAGGATCCTAGTTTAACATCTCAACCAAAAGATAGCACCTCCAACAGTAAGGATGGAAAACACATTTAGTGGACTGTCAGTGTGGTTTAAAAAAAAGCGAAAACCGAAAGAACTGCGGATGCTGTAAATCAGGAACAAAAACAAAGTTGCTGGAAAAGCTCAGCAGGTCTGGCAGCATCTGTGAAGGAAAAAAAAAGAGTTAACATTTTGGGTCCGGTGACCCTTCCTCAGAACTTTGGACTGTGGGAGGAAACCGGAGCGTCCAGAGGAAAGGGTCTGAGGAAGGGTCACCAGAACCAAAACGTTAACTCTTTTTTCCTTCACAGATGCTGCCAGACCTGCTGAGCTTTTCCAGCAACTTTGTTTTTGTGTCAGTGTAGATTATTTGTTAAAGCCCCTAGGTGGGATCTGAACCTACAATCTTCTGACACGGAGGCAGGAGTGCTATCCACTTAGCCAAGGGTGACACTGTGGATGTTCTTAATTAACCTGCTCTGGCATGTTATGAAACACCTTCGCAGGACCAGAAACTTCTGGCCCAGAGATAGGGAGACAACCACCCTGTCACAAGACCCTTTTTTACAGCATTAGTGTTGAGCTCTTGATTACTAGCTCAATGATGTTACCACCTCCCCAAAGTGGCTTTTGTCTACTGGGAGTGAAAATACTCCAGCAGTATGCAGGCTTGTTCTTTCAGGGCTCCCTCAGAAAGAGGAGCACATTGCAGAAATGGGTAGACATTTACCATCTGCTGTACTCTTGTCATGTTTATCAGTTTATGAACCACTTATCTATTTCTTTAGCATGCTTTGTTCCAAC